CAAATAATCTATTTCTATTCTCTCTTTTCTTGTATCTCTTTTAATATTGAAAGCATCTTTTTTGTATTTTTTCCAACTATATTTTTTAAAGACCATGTGCTAAAAATCAATTATGGACTATTTTCAACTTTTTGCACAAAACTTGAAATATTTCTTAATTCTTTGCACTTAACTAGGATTGGTGTCTGATTCTTATTATATTTCAAGATCTTTTTTCTTGTGCTTGGTTGTAAGTTTTTTTTTCTCTCTACTTTTATATATTTTTTGTATTTTTTTTTTGTTTTTTTTAATCTTGTATTAAATTTTTGTTCTTCCATATTACCCATTCTCTTGTTTTTTTATCTTCTTATACTTTCCTGATTACTAATTTGGGTGTGTAGTTTAACTTTTTTGTTACTTCATCTCTAATCATTTTTTTTTAGTTTGTCAAACCATTTTGCTTTTCTACCTCTTGGTTCAAGGTTGTATACTAGCTTTATTTGTTTCTATGTACAAAGAGATTTGCTATCTTCTAATAATAGCAGAGATACTACTCACAAACCTAGCTTGTTTATGTTTAACTTTTTATAACCAATTTGACACCTTTTTAAAACTTTTGCAATTTCAAAATTATTTGTTACTTTTGCCAGTTTGAGGTCCCAACTTCTAGTAAAATTATTCTCCTCTAATATAAAATTTAGCACACTTACTTGCTATAAGATTTGTATATCTAAATTTCTTATTTTAAGCTTTCTTTCTTCTAAAAGTTTTTGATTAGAAAGAATATATTGTAATCGAAATATTCGGTTTTGGGTTGGGTTAGGTCTTTGTTAGAAGAGATTACAAGACGAAGAGGCTTTTATTAGATAGTAGTTAGGACATGATAGCAAATCATGTCGCTTTAAGAGACCAATTTACATCTCTTTTATAATTCTTCTATGAATAACTACTATTCTAAATAAATATTTAAACTATTTACTGGCCCTGTTATGCAAAACGATTTTATGCATAACGATTTATGTATAACAATCATATGCATAACGATTTATGCATAACAAAAATAGTAAATAGCAAATAAATAACAAAAAACTATACTAAGAAAGATGACTTAGTAATAACTATGACGCGTGATCACGTGATTACATGACCATACAGACCATTGAATCTAAAAATATTATTATTTTACACTTTCCCCCTTTTAAAAATGCGAGGTCCTCCGAGCATTAGAGACCCCAGATTATGCGATTTAAAATACATCGTGATGCAATGTGATAAATTCAAATTGTGCGATATTTATGTAAGGAACCTTATACATAATTATATTGTTCTAACTTTGATTTATCACTACATAATGTGATAATTATGAATTTGAAAATTACGAAAATGAAAAAAAAATTATTAATGAAAAAAAAATATTAACGAAAAAAAAAATTAAACTGCCCTATTAAAATAAAGTAAGTTTAGTATCGATAAAGAATCTTGTGAAAGATTATGCCGCTTATCACTTAAAATATTTTTATAATTACTAAAACTCCGTTCTACATCAACACCAGATACAGGTAACCAGATATAAAATAAAGCAATTTTTGAAAGAGAAGGTAAACTGTCAGATTTTTCTTTCCAATATTTATCCAAGTTTATGTTTTTGTCCAATTCTTCATCAAGTTTACAATAAATGTTCCATTCATTTAGTAAATCATCACTTAAAATTTTAAATTCCTCTATCATGATATAACGTTTAATATCTTGTCGTGATATTGAATACTGAATAAATTTAGGGTCAAAACATTGTATGGCATTAAAAAGTGATAATGCAAAATGATTATCAACATGTTTTGTAAGCTTGTCAAATGATAATTGAAAAGCTTGCGAAAAAATTGACTTAAAGAACATTAAATTTAAATTCTCTTCTTGAATCTTGTTGCACATGAATGTGTTAAATGGTGGATTTTCAATACCTGCTTGTAACATGGCACGAGTTTGACTAATTCGCAAAAAAACATAAGGAGCTACAGGTTTATTGCAAATTTTAAAAAATTCTAAATCCTGAATTAAACTAATTAATATAATTAATTAATAATTATATTTAATAAATATAACAATAATATTATATTGTATATTCTCACCGTTGAGCATTTAAAGTAATAAATTCGATGATTAATTCGATGATCGGAATATTTTCATGATTTAAAAAAATTTTGGCCAATTCTTTAACCGCTTTTGGAGGATCGTTTCCATAATAAAAAATTGAACAAAAAATATGAAATATGGTTTCATCCAGATAACAAAATTAAACCAACTATTCCAACGAGTTTTTACGAATAATGGAGGCAATTGTAAGTTAAGTTCAGATGATTCTGAAGATAAATCTAACGGATTCAACGAAACAAGATTTGAAGAAAAGAATTTTAGCCATCTTCTTTTACGAATAGAAGAATGAGAAAAGGCTTCTTTAATATTAGAAGTTACAGTTGTAAGAATCTTAAAATTATCAAAATATATCCAACAATCCCAACTAAAATATGAGCGAAACAACAATTGTGTTTAAGTCAAGGCATTACTTAAACTAATACATCTGAATAGGCCTTTTTCATATATGTGGCATTATTACTAATAAATAAAACAACTTTAGAAAAAGAGATATCATAAAAATTTAAAGTTGATATTATTAATTGTGAAATTGTGGAATGATTAATGTTATCTAAATATTCTGTTTTAACCAATTTAGTTTGATTGCGAAAGCTAATTAAAACATTAGCAACACTACATCCACAGACATCAGTTGTCTCATCAATTGTAATTGAAATAAGTTAATTAATTAAAAGATTTTTTAATTCGTCTACTTCACTTTGAAAAATTTGTGGAAGATAATGTTCACGCATTTAATTTGCACTAATGATCTTATCACCTACAGTATAATTAAAAAAAATTAATATTTAAAACATGTGTATTAGATCAATTTACCTTCAATACAATATTCTTTAAAGAATGTTTGTAATTTATTAACTTTTTCTAGTGGGATATCAGCTTTCGCAAATGCTTTAACTAATGCTATATTAATTTCTTGTTTTGTTATATTTCTTGAGGATGCTCCTATGATACGTTTTTTACTTTTATGTGATGTCAAATTAAGATGATTATCAATTATAGATTTTTTAGTGTAATTAACAGTAGTTTTGCAAGCGATGCAAAACATTTTATTATTTGATTCGTAAAAAATCATCTTTATAGTCATTGGAATTTACACGTTCTAAGGCTGTAAACTTGGTTTTTCCCATCGTTAAAATTAAAGCAAAATTATAACGTTCTAAATACTTATATTGATATCATAACAATTACATAACATTCCAAATACTTTATTCAATATTGATACATATCAACAATTACAACAAAAGACGATCATATGATAACAAATCACTATTGTGATAATTATGAACAATTACGTACATATGTATAGTGCGAATATTATTCACTTAAAATTCGTCGCATTATGCCACATAAATGATCTAAATTTAGTAAAAATTAATCGCATTTTATGCGCATATTATGTGATCGCATCTGTCCGGTGTCTCTAGGCGGATACCTTATAACAATAAGGTTATTTGGGTTTTTAACAATGGTGAAAGTCTAAGATGAAAGATTGGAGATTAGGTAGACTTTTAGGGATAATTCTAGGGTAGTTAACAATGCGAAAATAAACAAATAAAACATATGGGCGGAAATCTTCAATTGTGATTAGTTTGTGATTATTTAAGTTGAATGATGAGATTAAATAGGATTTGAGCCAATAATATATATGATACAGTGTGATTACTAATATTAAAAGTGATTATTTGTCGGTGATTGTAAAACTGCTTGAGTTACTTATCAGTTACTTGTCAGTTTTTATGAGCAGTATACCGAACAGATTAGCTAAAAAAAACCATAATGATCCAAAATTGATCCATTACTTATCAGTTTTTGAGTATAATCACCTAATTTTATAAAGTCACAGCACTCTACTAAAAATTTCCGCCCATATGAAATAAAATAAAAAAAATAAATATAAAAAGGTTCAACATTCACTAAACAGTTTCTTACTAACAATGAGAAGTCGATACTTATTTTACTTTTCTAAAGACATTGAAGTCTGAGAAAAACTTTATTAACGAAAAATGGCGGCCTTTAAATACATTCTTTGTTCTTATTAATTACTGCGCTATTATATCATCTTTCCAATTTTTAACCCTTGCGAGTAGATTGCTCGCAATCTTAAAAGCCTCCTATAGGGTTTTGCTTTGCGCGCAAAATGCGCGCAATCTATCAGCCCTTTCTATCTATCATATAACTAAATAAACAAACAAATAATAATAAAAGAAATAAAAAAAAATGTAGAATTTTAAGCCCCGGTCTTTAAGTCACGGGAACCCGTGACAATAGGATTAAAAAATATATTTACAAAATCGGAATTAAATCAAGAAAAGTATTATTACCACATGTCAGTATTATCGTCAACGACCAAAGTTTGACATTTTCTTCCGATAATGGTCGCAGGAATATCTGTAGAAAATTGGTATCAATATCCGTGTTACAACCACTTATTAATTTCTTATTTTTTTCATATTATCTTGATCGAAGATGAATAATTTTGTACCCATTGCGAGTTTTCTTCTAAATTAAGTTGCTAATTTGATATTTTTGATCACAAACCAATACTTGAATGTCGTTACTTGATTGACTGCAATCGTCATATCTTCTCCGTGACGTGTGATAAATTCTTTAAGAGCACCTTCATGACTATGAGAGCTTTGAGATTATACACTATAAAAATCGTTGGAATATATTTGGAAGCGCGGCTTCTGAAATTCCAACATCTAAAATAATTATATAAATACATGCATATACATATATAATACGTATAAAGATCACAGTAATTGTTTTTCAGCAAATTTTTGTGAGTTATTTATATTTAATTACTTACCACTGTTTTTCAATCGATTCTAATATTCCTAAAAGATTTTTCTTATTTATTTATTGACTACTCAACATTTGCTTTCGAAATTCACATAATCCCAACCTCCTAATTGACAGAAATGAAGGCCTAAATAATTCATAGATAATTGACTCTTTTCCCAGTATTTGGAAAGCAGGATCCAAATACTGAAAGCTACGTCTAATCAATTCCTAGAGCAATTTCTTTGCAAATCAATATAAAAATTATAAATCTTTTACCATTTTTTCAGTAAAATGTTTCCAAAGAAAGGCATATTTTTGCTCTGCTTTGCTGGCTTCATCTGATAATTATATAATAATACCTCAGTAGAGTCTTTTTAATGTTGCCCAAATACTGGGTATAAAGATTTTTTAAACACGAATGGACTTCCACTTGTTGCGTTTTTCGAATGCATAAAACAGTATTATGTAGAATCCGATCCTTCACCCGGTGTGCAGTATATAAAAAAATTATTTTACAATACCGTATATGATTAATAAAATGTTTTTGAAGGATCAGCTGTCAGGTAACATGAAAATCTATATTTTTTATTTTTTTAACGTTAATGCTAATAATACGGGTAATATATTTTCAATTATATATTTGTAATTGTATGCACGCCCGTTCACGAATAGATACTTTTATTCTCTTCCTTTTTTTCAGGCTGTACAAGCCTTTCATTCAGCTTCTGTGTGAATACGTCGTACTGTGTAGATAATTTCAATTTTATACTTATTGATTTTTTTATTTTTTTTTTAATATATAAATTATATGAAGGTCGTTAACTTCTCTTTTAATTTCAACACAGATGACAAGCTTCGTAGAACGAAGTCCTACGCTTTCGAATAGATCACAAAGAGTATGTAAAGGAAGTGGAGTTGAAGAATCTTATCTGTACGCCAGGACCGATGATTTTCTGCGGTGGTTAATTGTGATTTAATGTGATAAAATTTTTGTCTAATTCTGTGGTAACGTTTATAATTTCTTTACAATTCTGTGGTATCATATTGTAATTTCTGTGATCTAATGCGATTATAAATTTTTTCAAAACAGCCAATTTGGTGAACATGCTCGTAATTTACGTTGATTTATTGTCTACATTTACAGCATTTCCCGACGCTGGCTTGAATTTATGGTCAGATCCTGCGATATATTTATGAATTCTGTGATATTCTGCGTATTTTTTGGAATTCTGTGATATTCTGCGGTGACTAATGGTGATTTCTGTGGTTGGCTGTGATTAAGAAAAATTCTGCTGTTTTCTGTGAATCACAGAAAATCATCGGCCCTGCTGTATGTTCTTTTTTTTTATTTGCCTCCTCTTTTTTTCGGGCTGTGAGTACTATTTCCGTGTCTGAATATTGCTCGGTGGAAATAGTAATTTCAATTTTATATTTATTTATTTATTTATTTATTATCTTATTATTATTTTTTTTTTACTCCTATCAAATATATATATATGAAGAACGTTCACTTCCCTTTTTTTCAACACAGATGACAAACCTCATAGAACGAAACCCTACGCTTTTCGAATAGATCACGAAGAGTATATAAAGGAAATAAAGATGAAGGATTACATATTCTGTATGTTCTTTTTTTTGGGGGGCTGTGAGTGTGCTTTGTTCTTTATGCAGTGGAAATAGTTAATTTCAATTTTATGCTTATTTATTTATTTTATTTTTTACTTCTTTTATCAAATATATATATGAATAATGTTAAATTCCTTTTTTAATTTTCAACACAGATGACAACCTTAATAGAACAAAAACCCACACTTTCAAATAATGGAGTTGAAGAATCCATGATTATATTTCTGTATATTCATTCTTTTTTCATTTTCGGACTGCTGTGCGGTAGAAATAAATAAATTTTAATTTATGTTTTTTTTTTTATATTTTTTTATTGTTTTTTTGGGCCAACATAGTAATAAAATTTTTTCTAGCCTATTTTGCTTTCATTATCGATCCATTAGGGGGTTTCAAAGTTAAAATCAGAGAATCTTACTTTATTTTTCCGATTTACAATTCAGCATAGTAAATATACTATTGAAAAAATCCTATTTATTTTCGAAATGCGTTATTTATTTGTTAACTTTGAAACCCCCAATTAAAATCTCGAAGCTCACACATGTACTATGTATATAATTTTTACATACCAGTATAGATCAACTAACATATAACATGTGATGTCACTACCTAACAGCTCCAAATCTGTAACAGATTATGTCGATCACCGAATCAAAAGAGCATTAAGTGCAGATTTAATTTACTTTATATTTAATATTTAGGTATACTCATATACCTAAAATTTCGTGCTGAAAACTTTTGTTTAGAAGTCAAACTACGGTTATCATAGTAAAATCTTGAGTTATTTACGATTTTTATGTGAGAACAGAAAAATCGTAAATAGCTCAAGATTTTACTATGATAACCGTAGTTTGACTTCTAAACAAAAGTTTTCAGCACGAAATTTTAAGTATATGAGTATATCTAAATAATTAAATCTTCACTTAATGCTCTTTCGATTCGGTGATCGACATAACCTGTCACAGATTTGGGACGTGCCAGCTAAATTTTATATGATGTAAGTGACGTAAGAGTGACTTGACTTTCTAAATGTCTGCAGCTTTACATGCCAGGAAATGGTCATAATTCCAAACTGGGAGATGCTTAAAGCCAGGTCCATCACGGTTAAAGTCAGTTTAGGGTCTATATTGGCTAGAATCGGGAGATTTCTATATGTTAAATCGTCTCCCCCGACATTTTTTCTTATTGTTGTACCAAGGTAGGTTTAAACATTTGTTTCGCATTTTTTACTTTTTTTCCTGATCCACGTAAACAAAAATTTGCAATTTGATGATCACATTTAAAGGAATTTATAATTATTCGCATATGAGATAAATCACTATATATCGATATACCCCAAATTAAATTATGAACATATGTAGGTAGTCAACATAACGCGTAGTAAATAAATAAGTAGGGGTTCGATCGAACTTCTGCTTTAAGGGTCAATCATTTTTATTATAAAACATGTAACTAATTAAAAATGATCTACAATATCTAAAGCGGAGCAAATCATGTGATAGTCAACCAATCAAATATGTTTTTTGGCAAAGCGAAACAATAAAAAAAAGCGAAAACCCTAAAAAATACAAAAATTAATAGTCTAAATTTACTTTGGTTAATTAATTAAAAATGTCAAGAAGATAATTTTCTTCTAATATACTGTACTATCATACAAATATAAAATAATTTATTATAATAGATTACATAATATTTACTTCTATTCACTATAATGTTTTTTTTAACCAACTTATAACAAAACCTCTATACGTACACTCTTCTATAAGTGCACACCATATCTATGCTTAAATTCGGGCCAACTATATAAATAACTACTATAAATGCACTTTTTTTTTATTGTCTGAAATAGTAGTCACATTCAAATCTTCTACATTATTATAACTTCTCAGATAGATTTTTCTAGTACTGTAGTATTAGGTCTTCTACTAACGATCACTTGTTCATACTGTAATTTAAAAAAATATTCTTAAAAATAGTTCATTTCGTTATTACAAATATACTAAACAATATTTAATTAGCAAACTACTTCATGCGCAAAATTAAGAATACTTCAAGTTTGGCTTAATATTTAAAAAGCTAATAAAACAAACTAACCTATTTAAAGACTGTACTTTAAAGGTTTATTTTCTTTGTTCTTTTTTTTTTAGTTTATTTAAAACAACTATATTCTTTAGAATTTTTTTTTTATGTTTGTTAAATTTTTAATTTGTCTAACGTTACATAAAAAAATGATCGATATGGTCTCTACCCTTAAATGTAAAATTATCCAATACCTTAACAATAGTATATTCTACAAAGTAAAGAAAAGTGAGCACAAAACAGTACTCTTTAGTAAATTATTCTTTGATATCTCTTTTTTATTGTTGTTATAGACATTAGGCCCTTAATGTTGTTTGTATCAGGTTTTTTTGCAGTTTTCTAACACACGAAACTTTTTTTTTAGAACATTCTTCTACTTGTTTGTGTAGAATATCTGAAGCATATAAAAGAACGTATATGTCTTTGAACGAATTATCTGTTAATACTGCAATTTTTTTAGAGTACTTCCATTTATTTGATTATATAATCTCTGAATAGTTGACGAAAGTATATATAGTAAAAAAGGCAGATGCATAAAAGAACATACATACCTTTGAATGAATTATCTATTGACATCTCTTTTTTGCAGTTATTACTTATGAGAAATTTGGTTTTTTCTATTAGATTGTGATTTTTATATTCTAAGTATAAAAATTACTTCTCTTTTAAATTCTCTTTTAATGTAAATATAGGAATAGTGTTGATTTTTTATATTGTTATCTGTGCAAGATTCTTTACGCAAATTTAGATATTATTGCTGGGCTCTTTATATTTACAAAGGTTTTTTTTTTAGATTGTAATTGCTATACTCTTTTCAAATTTTAAGCTTTTTACACTTTTCTATTAATAGTGTTTAGTTCTTGTTATCTCCTTATCAAAAATTATCTTTTGTCATTGCTAGCTTTTTATTTTCTTCTCTGATTTTCTTGAATATTGTTATTATTAGTGGCTGTAGTTGCTTAATCAGCTATTTTTATTATGACTGAAAGCTCTAAAGAAAAAGGTTTCTATGTTGGTAGCTCTTCAAAATCTATTATAACTAAAAGCCTTGAAGAAGAAATCCTTTATGTTGGTAGCTCTTCAGATAATACAAATAAAGTAATAGTTAAATTTTGAACATATTCGTATGTAAATAACCTAATTTATGCATTTAATATACTATATTACTGTAATAGGTTATTTACAAATATATAATAATTTGTTATCCTGTAATAATGTTAAACTATTATTTTTATATTCAGAAAAAAAGTTTGCTACTTGGGAATTGTATGAATCTTTTCTTAATGAATAGGCAAAGTTTCAAGGATTTTGTATAATTAAAGATTATGTAGACTATAACAATAGCATTGTATAACAAAGGGCTTTTATATACGATTATAGCCATATTTATGAATTGAATTCAATGAAAGATACAAAAAAATACAATGCTGTTTTTTAATTAATATATCATGCTCTAAAATCAAAAATTTTGAAACCTTAGTTATAACTATATACTGCAAATTTGAAACTATATTTCAACAAAAATTTCTTAAAAAAAATATTCTACAAAACTAATCTATTCTAAAAATTTATATGCTGCTATACAAAAATTTTAATCTAATAGTAAAACATTGTTCAATGATACTACACAAGTAAATTTATAATTGTTAATAAGTATCTATATTAATAAATTATAAATCTAACAAAACTATTTTTAGGTCTTAAATTAGCCTGATCAAAAAAAGGATATAAACTCACATTAGATTGTTGCCCGAGATTGGGATGATGTTAATACTTTAATTGATGATTCACCACTTAACAGAAGTATAATCATAGTGTAATATAATGTAGTTTACTATATAAATCTAATATAGCCTAAATATAAAAAATTTCTAACATTTGTCTAATAAAAACTTTTTTTTTGTATTAAGTTAATTGACTTTGTCAATTAATTGTAAGTTATAGAGCTTGTCTTTGCAGTTCTAATAATAGTTAATCATCCAAATTGGCCTAGTAAATGCCAAGATATAGGGGGTGTCAGTAAAAAAGGGACAAATCAGATAAATCACAATTTTGAGATAATTAGATTTTTGTGTTTTGTTATACAAATTTCTATAAAATTTCAAACTATATCTGAACAAAATTCCAACCTTTATGATCATCATATCAATAGAAAGAGACAAATTTATCTAATAAATTTGTCTCATTTCTATTGATATGCTTTTTTATGTTCTAATGGGCCAACAAACAAGTATAGTACATTTACTTTGAAATGATTATTAACACTATCACTATTTATTTTTAGAGTTATATTATTTTAAGAATGTAAAAAAACTAAAAACTAAAACCTGTGTATTAGCCACTAATCTAAAATAGTGGGTATATATATCAAAAATTTTTGTATGTATATTGAGAAAGTAGAAACTACAAGAGTTTCTGGTCAAAAGAGGTGTTTGAATTAGTAATTGGCTTAACGTAATCTAGAACTAAACTTTAATCTAAATATTTTCACTTGAACAATTTTAGAGTGATACTTTATAATACTACTATAAATATGCATATACAAGACCCCAAAATAGTAGACCTGGCTGTGATCTATGGAATCTCTTTTAATTAAATGTGGCTTTTCTCAAATAACTAAATTATCTATTACAAGTACAAATCTAAGGTTTACTAGTAGTCTACTAAAGGGTTTTAAAATTGGTGAAATGAAGTAGACCCAGGTCTTGTATATACACATTTATAGTATACCATGTGCTTTATTATTGTCTTTAACTTTTTTTGCTATGTTTTTAATATTGTTCTTTTAGGTCTAAAAATTTTGTCAAATATCCTAATAATAAGTTCACATATATAGCTAGTTAGATCAGTTATATAAGCCTTTAAAAAAATTTGTATTAGCCAATATAGAACTTAAATAAGATCTTACTTCAGGCTTGAATTAATGAATTAGATTTGTTTTATCTTAAATACTGAAGTTTATAAATTTAAATTTATTTTATTTTACTAATAACTTTTATTATTATTATTATTTTGAGGTTGTTATTAGGTCAAGAGTTCTCAAGCAGCTTCAATATGATTTATTGATAGAAATAATTGAATATGTTGTCATATTGGTAAAAGATTAAAGTATTGGCTATTTAGTACAAGAAGTAAAAATAATAATTTGTTGCTAAATATGATAATCTATGGAAATGATATTTGTGCAATTTCTTTGAAAACTTAATTAGAATTTTTCAAATCAGGTATAAAAAAAAAGATAGTTTCTTGTAAAAAGTTTGTTGATTTAAATAACAAGCTTATTTCTATATTTTTACTATTGTAATAAAAATATAATAAACTTAATCAACACATATTCATCTTAATGTTTAACCCACTTGACTAATTTATACCATTTTTGCTAAATGAATTTAATTTCCCAACACATTTTACTTATTGATTAAGGCGCTTAACTAAGATTATTTAATCTGCCATTTGCCCAATGTCCTTTTAACCCCAATTTCATGTAACAGATACCAATATTATACCTTTAAATATATGCTTTATCTCTGATGATTATTAATAATAAAAGATTGTATTTACTATAATAGTAACATCAAAATTTTTATTATGTTATATGTTAGCCATTTATAATGTTTAAATGTTTAGACTTTTAGATTACATATTCTTATTACTATAAATACTAGGAAAATATTAATTCAAAATCTAATATTTAAAAATAATAGATATAATAATGATTTTCTGATAAATTATTTAATGTAGAACATTATTATAAATTGCTAACTAATATATCTGAGTATTTATGATGATTAGAGATATGCTAGAGAATTTTTATTTTCATTTTATTTTGCCAATTCAAATTTTACTTTAGGGTGTCTTTTTAAACATAGAGTTACTACTTTTTAAAACATATCATATAGTGCTCTATAAAAGTGCTTGGGTGAAACTCGTGTTAACTATATATAGTACTCTTGGGTACTGTGTATAGTTGTGGGTACTATGTGTGGGGTATTATATTTGGTAGAGGTATCTGGGTGAATTTCTGAAAATATTCAGATATATATCTTTTTTGAGAAAAAAAAATATAATATAGCACCTGGGTATAAATAAATTTTTAATGATATAATATCCAAGTACATATTAATCTTCAGGGCTATTAGACTAATATAATATCCGGGTATTAATATATGGGGTACTTTTTAATAGAGGCACTTTATAAAGCACTATATGATACTTTGCACATTACTTATATTAAAAATTTTTAGCTCTTAAATATATATTAAGAATCTACAAGTCAGCAATTTACAGTAAATTGTATTTTCTATTTAAAATAAGATTTACAATTACTATTTAGATTATTTTTTTTAATTTTTTTTGGCTTAGGTTGGTTAGATTTTGGACAGTAAATATTATACTTTGCTAGGTTTTGAATATGTTGTGCCACTTCTTTATATAGATACTATTGTCATTCTAAATTAATTTTATGAGGAAAAATTATGTCTGAAAGAATCAATTTACCATTTTTTGTTTTCAGAATTAATAAAACTCGTGCAATTGAAATTTCAGTTTTATCACTATTAAATAACTTTTGAATTTTTACCTTACCAGGGAACTTGTGAGATATAACAAAATGATGTTGCATAAGAATAGATGGAACTGCTGTAAAAAACTGATCTAAAAATTGACTCCAATTATAAAATATAATTTTTCTATTCCTATTGGAGTCAATAATTGTATCCGCTTTGATCTGGCTTGAGATACAGATTAGGATTTAAAGTAACTCCTCTAGGAACACCAAACTAGAAGCACGAAGAGCATCCACTCGAAAGACACCAATTTGAAAGTAATACAAAAAATGAATTAGGAGTAATGTGATAAGTAATGAGGGGTAGAAGTTGGTTGGTGAACATTGTATAGTAGTATATAAGCGGGATATATATAATATAATAGGTTTGAAAACTATCTGGTGATCTAGTAACTGGTCTAAGTTGCAGGGTGGTTATTAAGGAGATAAAATCTCATATCGCAGGTCACATATAGGTACTAATTTAGTAACCAGGTGAGCTAATACTCGTAATACATTAGAAGAGTTGTAATTGTACATGTGATATTTATAACCAAATACCTTAGGGTACTAATAAATGATATTGGCAAGACTGCTGAATTAAAAAAAAAATTTGTATTCACTTTGTTATATTTACTAGTTGTAGATTGTTCAACAATATGAATTAAATTTTCTAAGTTGTCTGCTTCTGAATTTCTAAGTTTTAATTTAAATAAACTAAAAAAACTGTCTGGCCCAAACTTCATATAACCAGGAACTATAAAACTATATATAATTCTATTATGTAATCCATTCATCACCCGCCAGAATAGATATTTAATCATTATATTGTTTTTATTTTGACCCACACAATTATCTGCATGGATAACAACATGCTTTTTACCAAGACTATGAGTAGTAAAATAATGATGGGCAAGAGATATTACTATATTTGCACCCTTTCTAATACTTTGGTCTTCTGGAATAAGATAATTAATTTAAAAAGAAAATTAATTTATATGTATTGATAGTATTACTTTCAAATTAGTATAACAATTGATTTTTGTGAATCCTATAAATCCATATATTACTATTAGTAATATGCAGGATTCGCAAGATTTACAAACCTTAATTATCATACTAATTTACAAGTATAAATAAATTTAATTTGTTTATGTAGAACTAACTATATATTATTAATTAAATTATCTGTCGTGGTAGTACTTCCTCACACACACCAAATATTTCGACTTTGTAAAGTGATTTGAAATACAAAGCTCCTTCCTGCTGTAAAGAGTAAGGAATTTGCACATTCTCTGCAAAATCCTATAATACATGATTTTCAATATCAATTGAGTTTGGAATTCCAGGCCATGAAAAGTTAGTATTAGTAGAATTTAAAGCTATTTTAGATCTAGTGATGCAATTTCTAAAATAGAAATTATTATTATATAGTTATACAAGTATGATTAAATTAAAATTTATATGATTAAACTACCTATAGTTTTTATATTCTAAATATGCCCAGTTATAATGAGCTATCTATTCATTCAATTTTTGAAATATTTTATTCATATTTCAATATTTAGCTCCAAAACATCTTTGTTTACAAAGCATATATAGACTATTACATGCTGTTATAAATTAAACTTCAGGAAGATACTGTTTCTATATACATCAAAAGCTTGACAAACTAATTTCATTTATTTTATTATATTCTAAACTATTATAGATTCAATATAATAATCACTTACTTTTACATGCTGATAAATAGATTATTTCATGGGTATTATCTCAAAAGCTATGCTCTAAATATATAAATATTTTTAGTAATAATAATAATACCATATACAGTATTTTTATAACAAAAACATACTAATACAGGTTGAATTAATGAATATCAGGTGTATATCAGGAACAAGTTTTCTGATATATCCTGTCAGTTTGCAAATATTAGCAGCATATTGGTAGCATGTCAGAAGGTAAATCAATATCAGTAATATAACAATACAATATTGGGATATTCTGATATCTTACTCTTAGTACTTTGGGCCTAAAAGTAAAATATCAGGGTATCCTAATATTTTACTATTATGTTGCTGATATTAATCTACCTCCCAATATCTTACCAATATGCTTCAGGTTTTTAGTAAATTTATAGCAAACATGGATACATATTGGAAAACTTTTTTCTCAATATATACTCATTCATTAATTTAACCTGTGTGAGGCCATACAAAGTTAATATTTTGGTTTTTACAATATAAAATAACCTGACAACTCTATATAACCTAATATGTTTTATTTAAAATTTATTTTTTAAACTGCTACATAGCATATAAATTTATATATATCATAAAAGCTAACAACTTAAGAAATACTCGGATATATATTACTACAGTGTATGTTATAAATGCATATATAATTGCTTTACTAGGTGATGGGAGTCCATGATGATTAGCGAAGTTCATAATAAACTTAAGCACATTTAATATAGTTGTAAAAGAAATCGCATTGTTGCTAACATGTCCTGTTAAACCATGAATCTTTGGTACAAGACCAGATGTTTGATAATGTATATATAAAGCCTTCTACCTTCTTTTATGAATGGCATAAATTAAATATCATATACTCCATTTTTAAATTCTGTAGCATGCATACTAGTATCAATGATTCCAAGTAAACATAAATTTAACTCATTTTGAGACATCACCTTCATTTCTTGATATCTTTTAAGCACTGCTTGCTGATTAATATTTAAAAGGCATCTTTGGATATAACAGCAGAATTGGTTTAGTTTTGCTAAAAATGCATCATCATTTCTCTTATCTAATTTCTTTTCATGTTTTTTTTCATTTTTCATTAATGTTTATATTGGATAAAGTGTATATATTTTATGAAACTGTTTGATTTAATTAGCAGTAAAAAAATTATCAAAATACATATATATGTCCAATGATACTAACAAAGTTTTATTATAAGTTTCACTTATACTAAGTTCATTTGTTTCATAGTCAGATTCTTTATCCAAGTTATAATCTGTCAAATAAATTTCTTGAAGTACAGAAATTTCATTATTTAAGCCTTCTAATTCCTCATAAATGTCAAAAAAAATACTATCAAATAATACATTTTTATTTTTTTATTTTTATTTTTTTAAATTTCAGCAGTCTTGCCTTTACTTTATTAGGCTTTATAATATTATCCCTTAAACTATAAGCAATTCTAGACAAATTTGTCTGGAAAATTGCTTATGATTTACTTTTTTTAAAATTTAAACTATTTATATAAAATTTTTTTTAATAATATTTGAAAATAAGAATTATATTATAGTAGTATTTAATTTTAGAATATTCTAACTATAACCAGTAGTGATCATCACCAGGGTATCTATATCTCAAAAACGTACTAAGTAAATGGGATCGGGCTCTCTAAGTAAAAATGTTCAGAACCCCCAAAAACCTTACAAAAACTGAGATCAGGCCCTAATAGGCCCTTATAGTAGGTCTATATTATTTTATATAAAAAAAAATAACTAACCCTAACTCTAAAAATAATTAGAAGTGGTGATGATCACCACCAGTGATTTTAAGTATATTTCTTAATTTTATATTATAAGAAAAAAAGTTTGGGTTGCTTATTAGCCAAAAATAAACAAATTTAGAAAAAAAATTTAATCAAAAAAATAATTTACAAATTTTTAATGAACTCTTTAAATATTAATTTTAAGTTTATAGTTCTTAATACAATATTGTAGTTTGTATAAAAGATGGCAACTTTCATTATTACATCTTTAGTAATTTATTTATAAAAATTATGACTTGTATTAGAAGTAAAAATTTTTTTAAAGGCAAAAATATATAAAAATTTAGAAAATTTAAAGAAAAATTTAATAGTAAAAATTTTTAAAATAAGAGCTTTAAACTTTTATTACTCTAAAGATTTCTAGTAAAATTAAAAAAGTTTTATAATAAAGTTTATAGAATATGTTTTAAATAAAATATTGTATATATAAATTATACCCCTTATTATTAATAAATTTTAATTTTATTTAAAAAATTGGAAATACTTTTTAAAATTCCAAGCAAATTTGCCTGGAATACAGTTTAAGGGATACTAAGAAATATTAAAAATTTTTTAAAAAGCTATTCCTCTTAATATCTAAATTACAAGTATTAGCTTACCTAGTTATTTAAAAAACACCTATATACAACCTGCTATAGTAAGTTTTGCCTCTGTATTGACTTGTCCTGCACTTGAATTCATTAATACTTCAACAGAAGATTCTTATAGCCTGTCAAGACTACTAATTGCTTTTTTACCGCTTTGCACATTAACTGCTTATAATCCAACCTAATACTTCATTTCTTACTATTTCTAGTATTGTGGTCCATCCCTTACTCTCTTTCTTTTTCCTACTTTTTTGTCTAGATGATTTGTCAAAAATAGTTTTCTTCTCATCTCTAGCCTTCTTCTTCTTTTTTCTTCCTTGCTTGGATTTTGAAATGGCATTCTTCTTTTCTTTGAGTGCTATGCTATTTTCTTTTTCCCATTCTTGTACAAGTTTGCATTTGGGGACCCATATTGCCTTGTATACTCTCTTCATCTAATTCTTGCAGAGCCAAATTATAAACTTTTTTGCTTAGTTGTTAAAGTCAAAGAAGGGCAAATCTCCTCAATATCACTATTTGTAATAAGGTCTCTGATCTATCTTTCTCTTCTTTTTAGTTTTTCAGCTGTATTTCCTTTTCCCAACATTACCAAAATATCTTCTTTATCTATGCTTATGTCGCTTTCTTCTTCAAGCTTTTTTAGAATTAGTTTTACTTTTTGTTCTTCTATACTATGCAACAATCTGAGAGAGACTTCACAACTAGCTAAATATTCAACATTCTCAGTTTTTTTTTTACATACAACACATTTGTTTGTTTTGTAAACATCTGGTTTTCTCTGACTTAGTTTTTCAAGAACTAGTAATAAATTGTTTATACACTTTAATTCGAAAAGCTGAATGCTGTTTGATATAAATATATGATCTTGTTGCTTAAAATCACTTTTTAAAAGTTCATAGAATATCGACCAGCATTGATGAGCCTTTCTTTCTCTATATGTAGTATTTTGAGTACTATGTGCGAATGTTCATTCTGTCCTGTTTATTACTTTTCCAAACATCTTGGTAAAAGAGCATAGTGGCTTTTCTACTAGTTCATTTTTCCATTTCAATCTTAGTTTGTATCCTTTTGTACTTAGTGATACTGGGTCAGAAATTCGAAACTAGATGCACCTTCTTTGGCTTTGAGATCTGCCAGATCATTAAAAAACTCGCCTGAATGTTCTTTAATTTTGGTAAGGTATAGCTTCAACTGTTTTGTCTAAACTACTTCTGTTAATGTTGCAATGAGGCGATATTTTTAATTTTTAGCTACTGTCTTGTCTTATTTGCTTCTAAGCTTTTTTTGATTACTAAAATTGCTGCTTTACTGTCTGTTCTGATTTTAACTTCTTTTTCTTTTGGTGTTATTAATAGGGTAGTGAAGATCGCAACTAACTTAGCTCTAGTCAAAAAAAACTACTTTTCGGTTGCACATACTATTTGATAGGTGATTTGACCCCCTCTGCTATTTGAATTACTCCACAGCCCATTTGCATTTTAAGATCATTTTCCGACATTCTGAATGAGCCATCTGTATAAAATAAAAGACTATCTAATTTTCTATTTTGCTGTAAAATTTTAATTAGTCTATTTCTGAACTTTTTGTTTAAAACTACTCTATTTATTAATAGTTTTTCCTAGCTTTCAACTTCTATTATTAGTATATTTTTTCTTTTTACATCTTGTAACTCTTTAGGTAATACCAATATTTTTTCCTTCTTCCTTTCTAGTACTTTTCCAAAAGTATCTATATTGAGAATCAGTTTTGCCCCTTTTTCTGTTCTTTGTACAAAGTTTGTAATGTCTCTTAGTTCTTTTCATTTAATTATTGATATTCCTGATCTATTGCTATACTCTAGAGAATTTTGCTCAGAACTTGAACTTGCCTCTACTAATTTTCAACCTCTATGTATTTGTTTTCTTTTTCCTTGACTTTACCAACTCTGACATTTTCATTTTCCACATAACCCACTCTTTTGTTCTTTTATCTTTTTTAACTTTTTTTATGACTAAATTGAAGTTGTTTTTGTTGCAAGATACAATTCTAAACTCTGACTTGACTTTTCTAGAAAGTGGGTTTATAATCATTTCTCTTTCTAAATTGTTAAACCATTTTGCTTTTCTTCCTCTTTTGTTTATATTGTATATCCACTTAATTTGTTGTCATGTATACATTGACTTGCCATCTTTTGCTATAAGCTGTGATAGATAAAAGACTTCTAATTTACTTGTATTTGACTCTTCATATGAAAGATCACTTTTCTCTAAAATTTCTACTACTTCATAATCATTCACTCCTAAAAGAAGCTCAGAGTCCCAGCTCTTTGTAAATTTATTTTCTTCTATCGAGAAGTCTAGTGTCTTTGCTTGTTGTAAGATCTGCATAGTGATGGTACCTGATCAAAAAAATACTACCTGGTTATCCGACGAGTAAACCTGTAGGTTACCCAGATGATCTATAGATACATCCAGATATAAAACCTTACCCGATGTACCTGGGTAAAGTTAATTAAATACTCTTACTTTAGAACACTTTTCTGTTCAAATCAAACTTTTAATTTAGTAAAAACCCTTTTCAGATCTAAATCCTATAACTTTTAAATAAAATATAGACACGTAATATTGTGAAATAGAATATATCAAATCTACCTATGTCACTTCGGCAAAAACTTTTGTTGCTTATGTGTCACAAGTTAAAGCTATAATAGCCAAATGTGAAAATAAGCAATGTTTGATCATCTAAAAGTGATATTAAATTAGGTTGGTATTTTAAATTTTAATTGATACCAATTCAAAATTTATTTAATACCTATGTAGCAATAGAGGTTGGAACTGGTTTTAAATATTCAAGTTTATCCCTTCAAAATTTGAGTTTATCACATCAATTATTAACAATAATATAATAAACTCGAATTTTGGAGTGATAAACTCAAATTTTAATGTGATAAACTTGAATATTTAAAACCGGTTCCAACCTCTATGTAGCAACAAAGATCTAATATCTATTAAAAAGTTTTTACTTATCATTAGTAAAATTAGCCAACTTCTTGCTATTCAAAAAAAATATTAAAATTAGAATTTCTATTGATAGACAAGTTAGTGTCTTATCTATTTCGCCAAATTTCATACAGTCAATGAATATTCAGAAGGAAAATATCGATCTATTTGAAATAAAAGGCATAAAGAATGATTAATTGCAAAAAGAGTATATAAATTATCTAAGAACCACAGATTAAATCAATGAATAACAGGTATATATTGGGAGACAAATCTCCTAATATGTACCCATTATTCTACTACAAATCCACCAAATAACTGTAGTATACCGGTGGTATATTGGTTAGATATTGGGAGGTAGATCAATAATAGTAACATAACAGTAACATGCCAGGATATTCTGGCATCTTACTCTTAGCACTAAGAGTAAAATACCAGAATGTCCCGGCATGTTACTGTTATGTTACTATTATCAATCTACCTCCTGATATCTAACCTATATGCTACCAATATGCTACTAGTATGCTATAGTTTTTTGATGGATCTATGATAGAATAATGTGTATATATCAGGAGATTTGTCTCCCAATATGTATCTGTTATTTATTAATTCAACTTGTGAACATTACAGAAAACAAACCAAATAGTTAAAAAGAACTAAATAAATTTGCAATATCACAAAGTAAGCACCAAGCGATTTTTCACTAGAACTGA